AGATAGTATCGGTTGCATGACTAAGATCTGTTTAGTGGCGTATGAGCAGAAGTGACTTGTGCCCCTTCTGAATTGTGCCCTTCAAAGAAAGGGCTTTCTATCCACTTCCTTTTTCCCTTATACTGCTGGCTGAAATACAGATGTGGTGTTGGCCATCTTGAACCGTACAGATGGGACGAACCACCCTAGAGATGGTAGAGCAGTAATTTAGAAGGAATCTAGTTTTCTGACTCCTTTGGAGCCACTTGACTAGTTTTATGAGAAATAATTCTCAGTGATTTTTAAGGCACTTTTTTTCCTTTAAGAATCGTCGGTGATTTTTAAGGCACTTTTTTTTTCTTTAAGAGACCAAGTCTGGCTCTATTCCCCAGGCTGGAGTGCAGTGGCATGATCATAGCTCACTGCAGCCTTGAACTCCTGGGCTCAAGTGATCCTCCTGCCTTAGCCTTCTGAGTTACTGGGATTACAGGTGAGAGCTACCACCCCAGCTTTTAAGGCACTTTGGTTTTGGGATCTCTAGTCCAGCAATTTTATCCACGTCCTAATTAGTATACTTTCATACATTTTTTAGTTATCCTTTTGTAATTTGTTAAAATTGGAATGTTCTCCTTCCTTAGTTATTTTAAAGTAGTTTTCATGTTATCTTGATGTTAGAAGATGATAGCTATAAGAGTTTTATTTTCTCTCTTACCAGGGAAGAAAAGAAAAAAAAAACTAGAATAAACAAATCTAAGATTTTATCTTTGGGAAAATAAACAAGTGGTTTGTTACCACTGTGGTTATACTAATCAGTACAAAAGAGAAACCAATTCTTGGAAACCTCTAAAAGTAGATTCGGAAATTTTATTTATTTATTGTTTTTTTTTTTAGAAACCATAAATTTATTGGGAATGAAAACATATTTTTTCCCCCACCATTTTAAAATACAATCAGACCTTGGTATTTGAGGGGGATTGGCTCCAGGACACACGCACTGCCGCATACCAAAATACACCATACTCAAATCCCATAGTTGGCCCTATGGAACTATGTAGGAAAAGTCAGCCATCAGAATATGTAAGTTTCACCTCTTTCAAATGCTGTATTATTATTATTATTTTTTTAGAGGCAGGGTCTCACTCCGTCACCTAGGCTGGAGTAAAGTGGTGAGATCGTAGCTTGCTATAGCATGGAACTCCTGCGCTCAAGCAATCCTCCTGCCTCAGTCTCAGAGTAGAATACTGTAATTTTGATCCAAGTTTGGTTGGAAAAAAATCTACATAACCAAGCGTAGTGGCCTATGCGTACAGTCCCAGCTACTCCAGAAGTGGAAGTGAGAGGACTGCCTGAGGCCAGGAGTTCAAGGCTGTAGTGAGCCACAATGATTGCACCTGTGCATAGCCACTGCACTCCAGCCTAGGCAACATGAAACCCTCATCTCTAAAAAATAAATAAGAATTTTAAAATCTTCATGTAAGTGGACCTGTGCAGTTCAGATCCTTATTGTTCAAGGGTCAAGTATAGTGTATTTTTTCACTGCTGATCTAAAATGCAAATTTATACAGAAATTGTAAATAATTATAGTAATAGATAAAAAACTGAGTCAAACACTTGAAAATACTGTTTAAAGGGCAATTTGGAAGAAAAAAATATATTACCAAAATGAGTTAAGAAGAAAAACATCCCAAAAAGATTATCCTTAAAAGGTTCTATACTCAGAAGATTCATAAATGAATCATTTTTATGGAGATGATTTCTACTGTTTATAATTCTCTCTAGAACAAACTACAGGGTAGGAATCTATGTAGTTGAATGTGCGAAGAACTCAAATCCCTTATATCCAAACCTGATGCAGGAAACCTGATGCAAAACCTGTTTCTGTTTGTAGAAACAAAAGAATAGAATAGGATTCCTTTTATCCCCCCTCTCAAAAAGAGCATGAACTAAATCTAACAGTATATTTTAAAAATTCTCACTGGATGTGCCCAATAATGCAAAATTGATTGATACAGAATTTACTATTTGGACATATTAATAAGTAACTAAAATGATCATTTTGATTTATTATTTTTAGAGAAGGGGTCTTGCTCTGTTGCCCAGGCTGAAGTGCAGTGGCATGATCATAGCTCACTGTAGCCTGAAATTCCTGGGCTCAAGAGAGTCTCTGGACTCAGCCTCCTGAGTAGCTGAGCCTACAATTAATAGATTTTTATAAAATCACATGAAGACATTCATTGCCCATTGCCCCCACAATACAGGACACCATAAAGAATGTCTATTTTAGACAGACATCATGCTTGTTTGTTCAAACTTATAGGCAATTCCATTAATGTTGCAAAACAAGAATTCTAATTTATTAACACTATTATGTAATACAAGTATTCCCAAAGTTTTTCATAATTTCAAAGGTATAAATGGTCAAGCATACAAAAAGCATCATTTTAAACTTATTTCTTTTACCTTCACTTAACTTTGTAAATTTTGAATAAATTTTAATGTTAAATGATGTAAAATCACACAAAAGGAGTAGGTTGATAAGCTGGCCACAATAAATAGAATCTTCAGAAAAACACTGACATTTAATTATATCTATGGAAATAAACGAAGACTACCCAAACAAGAACAAGTGAAGGCTAT